TTCAAAGTGTTTGTCTCCTAAAGTCCGGATGTTGAGGAGCAGAGCGACCTGCGCTCGGCGGAGGAAATCCGCACGGAGTCTGCGTATCAGATGAAAGTGTGGAAAGGTTTCCTGATCTGCATCCTTACGCCGCGAGCATCGGAGGCACCGCCACGCTGACCGGCACGGCGCCAAACCTCATCCTGATCGGACAGCTGAAGAGGTAACTCTCACGTGATTACATTCAAAGGTTCAAGATACAATATTCAAGGCTTTTATTGTTGTTGTGAAAATCCTGAATGTCCTCTTCCAATATCAGAGTACCATGATAACAAAGGTATCAACTGTAGCTGTGAACATGACAGGATGTGTGATTACCTAGAAGAGCATCAGGACTGTTCGAGGCATAGCTATGTGATTAACGTGATGATTCAGCCTCTATTTACACCCACGGGCCAATCAGAAACGTTGCTGTCAGAAACAATGAGATGTGTTCTGGAAGTAATATGGTCTGTGATCACATGAGCAAGCATTTTATCGCAATAAAAGGGAACTCACCTTGTGGTAAACCTGAGAGAGAAAAGGAGTTTGAGCTCCATACTGTTTCATTTTGATATATCTGAGACCTATGACCTTAGGTGACCTTTAAAACACGTCTTAGTTGTGTTGTGTTTGTTTTCACAGCTACTTCCCAGACTGCGATGCGATAAACTTCGGCTCCTGGTTTGCGTTTGCTTTCCCGCTCATGCTGGTCTTCCTGTTTGTGGGATGGCTCTGGATCGCGTTCCTCCACGGGGGGTTGAACACACGGTAACATAAAGACGCCTATTTACCTATTCAAAAAAACGTTCCCGTCAAAATAGTATTTGTAGTGTTATTCTTAGCGTTTCTAGTCATCACAACAGAAGCCAAATAAGTTAAGATAAGATAAGAAGTACTTTATTGATCCACATGTGGGAAATGTTTGGATCAATAAAAAGACAATACATTGTACGATAGAGAAATTAAAAGACTAGAAATAAACAATCCAAAATGAACATCTCAAATAGAAATGGAATAGCATTAATTAAGTAAAGAATATATAGTTTATTTTCTTATGGTGGAGTGTAGACCTAAATAAATGCATGTACTTAAGTATTCAAGTACTTTGAGTCCTTTCTTTTCATGCACATACAAATAAAGGGAAGCATTGAACTTTCACTACCTCACTACATGACTGACAGCTTTCGCCTTTTGACAATTTAAGTTTTTGCGTACAAAACCAAACAAATGAACGTTTTTTGTTTTTTCTGCAGATTGTGCTTCACGAGAACCGACCACCGAGCAGCGGCGGAGGCGAGGGCGAGGGCGATGATCGAGGACGACTACAAGAAGCTGGGGCCCATAAAGTGAGGCACACCTGCAGCAATGCTCAACCTGTGGCCCGCGGGACTTTAAAGGTCCCCTATCATACTGTTTTTCATCAATATATCACAGGTCTCAGATACATCCAGAGCCTGTCTCTGATTGGCTGAAATACCAAACAGATCGTTGCAGCATTACCCATAATTCCCTCTGTTTCAGCCCTGTTTCCAAAGTGCTGATTCTCTGTCTGTTACTTTAGATGAAAATAAGGAGCCCCTCCCCACGCCCCTCTGAGAGACATTTGGTTACAAAGAACTCAATGGTGCTCTAGGAGGAGATTCAGGTGATAAGGGAAGGGGGGGGGGGTTACCTTGGTTGCTGATTGGCTAATGGTTACACAAGACAAAACATCGTTATGACATCATAACGTGGCCAAAATCTGATCAGTTCATTTTCAGACAGGTTTTTATAGAAATAGATCAAAAAGAGAGAGAATCTTTGTTCCTGAAACTTTCAGAGTCTCTTTCCACAGAGGGGACACATGTTGATGTAGAAGAGACATGAAGAAGAGGGGACACATGTTGATGTAGAAGAGACATGGAGAAGAGGGGACACATGTTGATGTAGAAGAGACATGAAGAAGAGGGGACACATGTTGATGTAGAAGAGACATGGA